ATTTTTTATATTAAAGTTAACTTTGTGACATATTTACCCATTACCTTATTTTTAAAAATTTAACTTTATATAATTTTACGTAAGTTATTTTATCGTATATATTAAAAAAAAAAAAAAAAAAACCGAAAAAATATAAATTTCGATAATTACGAGTATATACAATTATTTATAAAAAATATAAAAATATTTAAACAAGTTCTTTGCATGTTCACACTTAATCCAATATTTTCTAAATTCGATATAAAAATAATAAATCTATCCTTATGTGCCATATTTCAACCCTAATGCGACACCAGAAAGGGTTGAGTGAAACCTTCCAAATTTCATCTAAATTATTTATACATACGACTTAACAAATTAGGGGGGTAATTTGTTAACAGTTCTAAATAAAATATTCGACCTACATAAATAAGGATTACCCTATTATATATAAATCATATTAATATAAATAAATTCATAAGATTGAGTTCAATACTTGAGCTAAACGGAATTATGGAAATCGATCATTGCATTCGTGTGTATTATTTTTATGTGTGAAACTGTCACAGTTATTTTAAAATAAAGTAGGTTAAACAGTAAACGTATCTCACGCATTAAACGACTATACGTAAATTGACAATAGTACCACAGATAACATTTAACGTAATTTCAGGTCTACTACTTAATAGGCATATGCGTGGTAAATGTTTAAAGAAATATTACGAACATACCTCGCCTCACCCTATTTTCAATTTAATTACAAATGTATATTCTATAACATTTTTAGGATCATATCTATTGTGCATATAATTCTGCTCCCTAATAATAATAATAATAATGATAAATATTACAAGATTTATTTTATGGCTTAAATATATAAATTCTAATCACAAGACAGTAATTATTTCCATCTATCTCGTATAAATTAATCTTCTAATAAAATTACCTAAATAAAATCGGAAATAAATCAGTATTTTTGAACTACGAGTATATCCAAAATAATAACATCCTATATCTAAACTTATCAAAAGTTGAGAAATCATACGGTTATAAGCTCATTATGATTTCAGTGGTCTTTATGAAAAATGTAATTGTTATCATAAAACAAACTGATTTACTTTACAGATATTTTACTTGTCAATAGATATCTGGAGTGATATAAACGAATAGATATAAAATTATAAACATTATAAACAATTACAAATTATAAACAAAAATTGTTTTTTACTTTACAGTATATTATTTAAACTGAATGGATGACTATTAAAATTTGGTTGTTTTCGTAAAGTTTTTATTTATTTAGTTTGTAAATTTATTACCAGCACCGATAATTTAAGTACCTTAGGCATAAGTAATCTATCATTAATATACAATATGTACATCTACAGTTAATAGTCGACATTAAACGATTGTTTAATACTAATAGTGGACATCGTTGTTGTTAATTAAAATTTAATGGCTGTCGAAAACCCGTCTAATTTCACTAAAAAATATAATATATTATATAATATTATACTATAATTTTTCTTTAAATAAAAAAAAACCCCACCCAACATGATATAACTTTTCATAGATGAGTGTTAACAAAACACGTTTAACAACCCGAGTTCCACGACAATAACGTACTATATATATTTATTTAACTCAAAACTGAAAACGTCGATTAAATAAAAAAAAAACTCACAAAGTAATAAAAACCTTATTTATTATTATAACTTTCTTTCTTTTTATTTTTTCTCCTCTAACGGTCAAGTTCTATAGTTCTGTTGTCGTTGCCGCCACCTCCACAACCGAAGGCATACCAAACACATGTTATGTATTCAAATACGACAAAACGTGTGACAGCCTCACACGAAGTTAATATGTGTACTAGCTATTATGTGTATTATTAGTTCTAAATGTATTGTGTGCGACGTATTATTTTTCTGTATCATACGTGTATACCATAAGATTTACAAACGTGACTGGGGAAATTTAGTAAGCAAAAAAAAAAATAAATAAAATAAAAAAATATAATTAAAAATAATAAGGGTTATTCATCGAACGTATTTTCCTACTCCATCTATTTACTGTCTAATTAATATTTTTAACATAGTCAACAGGAGACAATAATTCCTTGTGGTTTGTTATATTTTGCTATAGTAAAGTGACACACTTTTGGCCGTTTGCACATAGTCGGACGATATTATCGGTGACGGTTATAATATCAGATCTATTTTGTATATTAGTCAAAATTATCGGTCCGATAAAAGAATAAAAATCAAATTATTACGGTTACTGGGCTTATATCTATCAGTAATTTCTTATTATTTCTAGTGTTTAACAATTAAAAATGAATTCTAAAAAAAAAAATCGTACTCTTAGCTATATTACACATTAAACAAAAACGTAAATTATTATCAAAAAAAACGCAAGAGGACTTTTTGGAAACCCTATTTTAACAGCAAGATACGTAGAAGGTACTTTTTATACATTATTTAAAAAAATTATTGATGATGAACGAAAATTTTTTAATTATTTCCGCATGAGTTTTTCTACTTTTACCTTAATACTAGACAAAATATCTGATGTCATTCGTTGAAATGATACACAAATATGATTATATGTTTCACTAAAAGAGATTTCAGTTGTAACACTGAGGTAAATATAAAATATTACTTATGCCACTTGAGTATTAATTTAAATAAATTACCACACAAATAATACATTTTTTTTTAATTCAAACTTTATAGTGTATGTATTATTTCAAACTTTTTAATTAATTTAATTACAAAATCTATTATAAAATAAAAACAAAATTAGTCCTTCTAATTTAACAAAAATCAAAATAAAATGAAACATTAATAAATTGTTTAATTTGCGCTTTCAAAATTAAAAAAAATATGATGAGAAATTTGCCTGTTCAGCCTGCATAGAATAAGTATTTCTTTGGGTGTCATAGTTAATTTGGGTTTCGGTCTGTGGATGATCTAAAGAAATTGCAGGTATTGTTTTTTCGAAAAACTTGAGTAATTAAAATTGGTCAGTGCTTGTGGATTTTGAAGTTTATTATGTCCCTTTATACTTTGAATAAGATTTAGTACTCCCAAACGAAATTCGAATTTGTCATCTTCCGACATTTTTCTAACCGATGGCAAAACAGAATTAAAAAATGACTTCATCAGTAAGTTTTTCATTAGCCTTTAACACTTTAATAATTTTCCTTTCAAACTCATCATTAAATTGGCATTTATTACATTCTAGATTTTTTTTTTTTTTTTTGATTTATTTATTCTAGGAGATATTTCCTCTGTTAGATCATTTTCAGGTAAGAAATTGATATCTTTATCCATGGTTATGTCATTTTCACTTATACTAAATTCCGTATCATTTTTTTTGTATAACTTTAAAAAGAAACTTTAAACTTTCTGAATAAATGTATTTTTCGAAATATCCCTGTCCACTTTTTTTTTTTTAGTTAGCAAATAAAAAGATCTCTTATACATTGCCATTTAGTTAGGATCATATTTCCTATAAAAATAATATTTCCCATTTAATATTTCATATACAACGATTTATTATTTTTAACTAAATCGGGTTTCCAACTATTGAATTTATTTGATAAATATTAATATTAATATAATAATAAATTAGTTTTAATAATTTATATACTTCCATAATATACAGATATTTAGCTTCTGGAAATACGTTCACAGACCTACAATACAATTTTAGACTAGGAATAAGTACTATCAGAAAGATTGTCAGAAAAGTTTGCTTTCAACTGTGGAATATTTTTAAAAATGATTTCCTTCCAATGCCAGATAAAGATATGAAAAATCTATTGCAAATAGTTTCTAAAAAAAATGCCCAATTTCCTCACTGCATAGGTGCAGTTGATGGAAAACATATTCATGTTCAAAAGTTTCCAAATTGTAGAAGAATTCAAATAATATAAACATTCTTAAATCATTTATCTTTACATTCAATAAACACATTTTTAATAATATTAAAACTAAAAAAATAATATTAACCAATTTCTAGTTGTTCTTTAGGAGTTTTATCTACAAAATTATTTTCAAGATACATATACACTTCTTCCCATTGTTTTTTTTATATTTTTGTCTTTATACTCATTAACCGTTTAATCCCAAAAACATGGCCTTGATTCCACTTACTCAATCAGAGTCGGCACGTCGTAGGGAAAGTAACTCATTTTTAAAAATGTACTTATTATTGAATACGTTGATGCATGCAATGAATTTAAACTACATTTTACTCGTATTTCATTATTCCAATAATATCAGTGAGTGTGCAAACATACCATTTATTTTTAATGATCATTAAAACCGGATCGATAAATTATCGTCCGATTTTAGTCGTTTGTCCGACATGCACAACGATATCGGTGAAATAAATCAGACATTTTATCGGATCGGAACTAGTGTGCAAACGATTGATTTAAAATAACGTTTTATCGATGTATCCGACAAAATCACTGATAATATCATTCGATATTATCGAACTGTGTACAAACATCCTTACAGAGAAAAAATTAGAGATGAAGTTCGATATTATTAATCCATAGTCGTTCAGTCACTTAATCCCACATGGTGGGACGATAGAAATGTTCACATGTAGAATTCGCCTAAAATAAATTCGAAAACAAACTCGTGAAGAAAATTTGTGTCTCGAAACAACAACGATTAATCTTACTAAATATATTTTAAAGATAAAGCATTCTTTTCATCGCCACTGTGGTCTATGGTAGTTTTTCACAAATATTATTTTATTTATTTTATTTATTCTTTTACCGAATGTATATATATGCATGTATTCAATTTATACACTGCAGAAAATATTACATAGTAGAAGAAAATACGAGGGGCAAATGATAAGTAATGCACAATTGCCAATAACTCACAATCGTAATTAGATAAAGACTTCAAAATTAGATCCAAATATAACTATTGTTATCGTTTATAACTGAGAAATACCCATTTGAACATGACTCGATTTGTTTCTAATCAGTGCGTGTCAGAATGGAGCCTAGTACTGATGTATTGTCAACGAAATTAAAACAACGAGCTGTGATTGAATTTTTAATCACCGAAAATGTTAATCCGACAGACATTCATCGTCACTTAAAAGCTGTTTACGGTAATAAAACTGTAGACCGAAGCACAGTATCTCATTGGGTATCAAAATGTAAATTAGATGACCCTGGTAAAATGAATATTCTGGATAAACATCGCGATGGACGACCTGTAACTGTTACGGATGAAAAACATCGAATTCAAGTGGACGAGCTTATCAAAAATGATCGTCGAATAACTCAAAACCGCATAGCTGATATGTCGCAAGAAAGAGTCGAGTTCATTATTCAGCAACTTGGCTATCAAAAAATTTGCGCTCGTTGGGTACCGAAAATGTTGACACAGGAAAGCAGTGAAGTCTGGGATAAAAGAGAGACCAGCTACATATTTCAGTGACGGTATGAAGAAACTTGTGACTCATTGGGAGAAGTGTATATCTGTAAATGGTGATTATATTGAAAAATAAAGGTATTAATTTCTAGCTAAAGAAGTGTATTTTTATATATATTTTTTTCATTTCAATTATCTCTCTTCATTTTCGAAAAATTCACCATTGTGTATTACTTATCATTTGCCCCTCGTATTTTTTTAGCATTATCATATTTTACGATAACTTATAGGCAATAGTTTACAATACAAATTAATAGATATGTACGATTCGAATATGGTTATGTACATTTTTGTGTTAATATTAACATGAAATAAAATGTAAAATAGGCAATTATTGCTTATAAATATTCATCTAAATCGTTTTATCCATAAAATCCTAGGTTTCTTATTTTTCATATCATATTTTATTTTTCTTTGCAAAATAATCTAAATAAACTTCCACAATTTTCGGCATTGTAATCCTTAATTATATATTGCATAAATAAAAATGTCCGGTTATTACTTACTTGGTATAAAAAAATTGATAGTTATTTACCAATATTTATCAAAATTATTAATTTTTTTGAATTAATCTACACATTTATTATCTTGGTTTTTAATATTGACAAAAATATCAAGAATTTTGCCATCGTAGTCTAATCAAATTTTAAAGTTATTCTTAAAACAAAACCAATCTATATTCAACGTGTGCTATAAGCGTATCTTATTTCCACATGACTGATCATTGCTTAATCATACACGAGTTTTGAACGCTACTATTGACAATAGAGTTGTGTAATCGTTTGAACCCAAACCACCAAGTTGCGATCAATACAGAAGATATAATTTTTTATATTATGGCGGAATTAATTTTATATAAAATAGCAAGGAAAACAAAAATTAATTGTTTGGGGTATACCTATCATAAAATTAATATATATTTAATTCAATTCTGTAGAATGGTTTTTATATTAAATTAAAAATAGTTTTGTCTAAATAAATTAAATTTTATTGATCAATCTTGTAATAAGATATTACAAATTTTTGATATTTGGTATTTAAATCATTTCAGTTTTTAACAATACTTATATAATTAATTTCCTAGCTATGCAGATGCCGACAAAGAATTATATGAAAAAATAAATATTTAGTCGAAATCATAAATTCTAGATTATTTAATAATCGTTCGTATTACTTTATTTAAAATATTTAATTAATATGTATAATAGACGAGTATTTACATAGTTAAAATTCGAAATATTTAAAAAAAAATATCAGTCAAACCTTCCAAGTTGGAAATACAGAACCGTTTTCAATTCATATACGACCTGTAGTTCCTGTTTTTATTATATTTTTAAAAAAAAATTGAAGTTAATTTAAAAAGTAACAATGAACTATCCTTAAATAATTTTAGTTAAAATAAAATATTTTTAACTTGAATATAAACTTCTCAGCAAAATATAAGAAAAATATTCTGTTTCATTCTGATATAACTTACTTTTACTCAATTTATAAATTTTAATTTTTGCTTTAAATAATGAACCAACGGTTAAAATATGTTGGGTAAAATCGAAATCTGATTGCCCAATATTATGTGATCAATCTAATGGGCATAATTTTCCCATTTATCCAGTGAGGTATAATTAATCTAGTTGATAACTGGACTAAATCAATCTTCTATCTTAAAAAACTGATCGAGGGATCGCTTTAGAAGCATACTTCATATATTTTTATTTTTCCCCTATAATTATTTATTAAAACCAAGGCTAAAAGGAAAAATCAACAAAAAAAATAACACATAAATTATCATTTAATAGTATGGTTTTATATAGTCAATATTTATATCTAATTCCCAATAAAATATTCACCAGATGTGGACTACATGGTAGTGATAATAATATGTATCTCTATATATTGAATTTTGTAATAACCTGTAGTTATTATTATATAAATAAATAAAGCTTTAACATAGGAACTTATATTATCTGATTTATAAAGTATAGGCAACTAACTTAAGTCTTATTTGTAACTTTTAGAAACTTTACTTTTACTACAACTTTAATTGCTCTACTGCAAAAACTTTAGTTTTAGAAAGTGTTTGTGCATATAACTAAACCGTCTAAGATATAAGTTTGTAAAAATAATAACAGTTCTTTTCCTGGCCATGTTTAAATTATTACTCAAAATATAAAAAACTTTGTAAAAGCAAGTTTTGTCAATATTTACAATAAATTATGTTTAAATAAATCGGTAGATCATACAAAAATATAATAATTAAAGCTACCTACTGATCCTAACTTGTCTCAGTTAACTGTATATTAATATAACCGTAGTATTGTTAATTTAGATATTTTCTCAATCATTGTTTAAGTAGTCATCATCTATTATATTTTCTATGAGTGGAAATTATACATAAAATTAACAAAATCTCATATTTTTAATAGTATATTTAAATACTAATAAACAATTTAAACACCATATAAATTGATCTTAGATGCAATTATTATTGGAACAAAAATATTGTGTTTCGAAATTGAAACCTCACATTTTTAATTCTATAAATATTTTTCAAACTACATTCAAGTTTTCTATTAAGAACTCATGGTTTAATTCAATATTATCAACCATCAACAATTTTTTTATTTCAAAGAACCTGGAGCCATCTCTTTTTTTGTTATATTAAAATTATGAACTCTGTAAATCAAAGGTCACCTATTAAGCAATGAAATTCTCAAAAGTGATCACACTGCTACATATAATATTCATTTTAGTCGAGTAAATTTTGCGTCACAAATAAAAATGTAATCATACTTTTGGATCCATGTAATTTATATTCTAATATAATAAAATTATATAATTGTTATGATATGATATTATTATATTAATAAGTTAATTCATTATGTAGCCTGATTATTCACACGTTTGTAGTTCCTCGAAAAATTGTATTCGAATTGCATTAAATCTAAGATCTATGGTCATAAATATTAAAACCAACATTATATTTTACTCCGGAACGAAAATGAAAATAATAATTTATTTCTATAATTAATAGAAAATAACTATAATTTATTTTTTATTAAATTTACTTAAATAATGAATTAGTTTTATGTGAATTTCTGATAGATTGATAACATGGCACAAATAATGTAAAAAAAAAAAATATTGAAAAATCATTCAATTCATGAAACCAAAAAATTGAATCGTCAACATTTTCATTAAAATAAACCTAATAATTGGGATTTTTAAATTTATTTTTTAACTTTTATAGTTAACATTTTTTATCATTTTCTAAGTAAGATACATGAATAAAATTATTAGATAAACAATATTTTTCTTAAAACTGGGTATATGAAATCCTAGTAGGACACCCTTTGTGTCACGACGCTTCTAAATTGAATCAAAAATACTCAGTAAAACTTTTATTTATCATACAACATAATATTGAATTTTTTCTATAAATAAAACATACATCTGAAAAACTCTTTGAATTTATAAAATAATTTGCAATATTAATAATCTAAAATCACATATTTTCAAATTTCTAATGATTTCAAAGCACCTTAAATTCAACAAAAACTTATTATAATTTATTTTGTTGAATCACTAACATTTTGAAAGATTTGAATACTTTGTTTTTTTCTTTTAATGGCTGGTACTTTTTCGGATATTATTCAAGACGAGTCTGACGCCAATATAATATGCTGCATAGACCATCTCGGAAAGACGTTAAACCATTTTCGCAACTCACAGTATTTTGTAATAGTCTTAAAAGCAAAAATACTAAAAAAAAAAAAAAATACTCAACGTCGTTCTCATACGTGGTTTACGGCGTTTCGGACGTGCTTAAGACTGGGATTTCGAATGATATTCCGGTACGACCCTTTATAAAGAACTCAAGAGCGACGCTGACCTATATATTTCACTGCAAAGGCGTTAATAAATTATTTTTCCTAGTTCATTTTTGACCACTCAAAAATAAATATTAATTTCAAATTAAGCTTAAAAAATTTGGGAGATGGAAGCTATAATTTATAAACAAATAGAAAAAATATGCGTCATTGTAAAGCCAATTTCTTTCTTAAAATATTATAGTTAACAAACCATCACTTAAATAAAGAACTATTAGTTTGTACTGATGCCAATATTATAATTGTATGATATTATTGTAGGGTACATTAATGGCCGATCAATATAATAAACATTTATAAGTTACATAAATTTGTAATTAACTATGTATATCAAGTAAAAAAAATATGTAATATCTCTTGATGGTTTATTAACATGTATTATTGTTAGTCGTTTTGACATAATAGTATGATTAATATGATTCAACAGTAAGTACAACATTTAGCTAAACATTGTACTACAACACGTTTTGTATAAAATAAATAAATATGATAATAATGTGCACCATTTGACTAGGTATATAAAATGTCATACATAAATTTTAATAATTTATACCATTTGATTATGTAATATGTTATACTCGTAAACCAATAAACAACGATTCTATTTCATACACTATACGAGAATAGACAAAACAATTCGGATAATAAAAGCCTGGTACAACAATACACCATTGACATATTACGTAGTATCAAATTTTTAAAAAAAAACCTGTTTGAGGTTTATCTTGTATTACTTCCCTATAAAACAAAGACACAAAACCCTTTTTTGAGCTTTTAACCAAAGTGCGAGAATATTGAGCTCTTAGTCATAAGTGCGTACCGATCATTAGGATCCTTTAAGTAGCTTCTTGTGACAAGTTATTACATTATATTTATTATTACGTGCAATTATTTCATTTTTAATTTCACTTTACTTTGCACCTATAAACAGCAATTCATCTAAAGAAGAAGTGTTAACACCGACACAGATTTTGATAAAAGAACCTATGACCTTACCATCCGACATGGACTTGGGTCAGAAAAGGTTAAGCAGTCTTCGACGATGGAAATATGTATGCTTCGATGAAACTCTTCTGGTGAAGATCGACAAACGAATACCTACTACAATTGCAAATAAGAGGAAATTGGACGACTGTAAAGATGTCTTTGAAGATATAAGATATTGTAATTCTTTAGGATGAATGTACCTCTCCGAGCAAATGGAAGTTGAGAAAGGTGGTACAAGTTCACCTGGGTAAGGATCGCACAATAAAAGTTGCTACAGTGCATCTTGGAACTTTTGTAGAAATAAAGCATTCTAACATTAAATTATGTATACTAACCACTGAATTGATTGAGGAGGGGGATAATGTTAGAGATGACGATAAGTAATTTTTGGTTCCCAATTAAATATGATGGATTGTACCAAGCTGACTGGTTTGAAAATCGGTATCTAAATTGATTTACCTGATATCGTCGCTACACACATGCACCGTAATTTTTATTAGTTTTATTAAAATATGTTCATCGTTTTTCATCATATTATACATACATTGAATATTATCAAAAAGGCCCATGTATAAATTTATAATTATAATAATCATGTAGGTGACTTTTATATTTTGTTTTATTATGAAAACTAACGACCGAAAACGTTATGAGTATTTAAGTTTATAATTTTTTTGTTTGGAAGCTAATCACCAAAATTTAAATTATTTTATTTTTCGTGTGTGAGAAAATTTCTACAATCTTTATTTGTATTATATGAGCAAATCATTGTTTAATTTTACAGTTCCTTATACTTTTCATATGTGAACAAATCGCCACAATTCATAATTCTTTGTTTTCACAAATTGCTATTTTCTATTATTTGTGTACATATAATTATATTATTTAGGCACAGGTAGTTGCGGCTGGCTAGTTTTACGCTCCACAAATTATTTTATTTTATAAAAATAAAAGAGTAAAATATATTTTATTTATTTATTTACAAAGTTCATAAATGTATTATTATTTTTATTATATTTATGTAGCTCTGATTTTTTCTATATTTTTATACACATTTATCACACAATGTGTGAACTTATTTTTTATTTATCGTTGTGCCCAAGGAGCCACATATTTCTGTTTATTATGTCTTAATCTGCTGGGCCAATAGAGCCATAACTAATTAACTTAATTTTTATATTTTTTATCATTGGTTTATTTTTGGACCGAATAAAGTTTTATTTTTGAAATTTTAAGACACAAATTTTTTATAACTTATCGTTTTTCCCATAGTTTAAGTATACACCAAACCTAAACACATATTATATTTACATACGTTAGCAGTTTTTGCCATCGATCCTGACCACTTCTTAACTTCTGAGGTATATATTACACAGTTGATCAGGTATTTTGTATAAACTGTAGACCAAACACTCATGTTAAACTGAATGACAAAAATTACAGTCCACTAAAAGTCTTTACAGCCGTAGTGAATTGCCAGTAGTTGGCACTAACATTAGTTATGTTCGGTAACACTTAACTTTTATAACCTAGTTTCACAGACGAAAAGTAAACCCTTAAGTTTGAATTCACAAAAAGTATATTACGATACTTTTCTTTAATAAAAGAGTATGAAAATAAAGCCTTTTATACAAACATAGTGCTTGTAATCAAATATTTCATAAATAATTTATAAATTCAAATACATATATTTTTACATTTTCCAGCTTTATCTATTTTATCTCGAGTTCCCTCACGTATCTGTTCGCGTATCACTAAAGACACGCAAACCCCCCCCCCCCCCGGCAGAGAAATTCTGCTATAAATTATAATATATTTATTGGTTTTTAGTATAACAGCTTGGATTTATTTTAAATATTTTTAATATACGTTTGAGTAACTGCAGTTTAAATAAGTACTATATAGAAGAAAAATAAATAAAAATAAAAGTTTATGCTGAAAAAAAAATGAAAAAAAAAAAATAAAAAGAAAATAAATAAATGCTGAATGAACAATTGTAAATTTGCATAATCATCGAAAATTCAATTTTTTATAAATTAATTCAGGAAAAATAATTTAAAAGAAATAAGTTTTGAATTAACTTTATGATAATTTAACAACTAGATGAAATTATCAAATTAAAATAAAAAATGATCTTCTATTATTGTAGAACATTCAATTTTTATTGAATTAATAAAACAATAAGAAAAAATAGAGATGTTAAATTCTGAGTAAAATGAAAACCATGAAACATTTTTTTTGTTGTTCATTTAGACGATTTCGACTAAAATGAATACTTCAATAGGAAATGTTGTCTTGTTAGTTCTTTACTGAATAATATTTTACAGATTTCTAAAAAGTTTTCTTTATAACTACAAAAAACCGATAAAGAGTTATAAAAAACAAACAACTTTTATTACATTCTTGTTTTTGACAAAATTAAATTTTTGTTTACATCGTAACTTTAAATAGAATAGTAATAGAGATTTAAAATTTTCATTTATTACTTTAATAATCATTCTCTATAAATGGTATAGTTTAAAAATATTTAGATTTCCTTTAAGCTATTTAAATGCAATTGAGAATGTCATGTTTACACAACTTTTTTTCGTAAAATATCGATAAAATAAGTTTAACAAAAAGTCTTTAAAATATAATACAATGATTCTCATTTATATATTTTATAAATTTATAAAAAAAAATTAATTAAAAAAAAAAAAAAGTAATGTTAATGAAACTTTAAATATTTAATTTCAACTATAATTCTCTTCATTTTTTTTAGATAAATGTTCACTTCAATTCATATACTCGTATTAAAAGTTTGAAAACAGGAAACAATATTTTTTTATAAGATTTTTATTTTACTCAAAACAAAATAGTTTACTGGAAAAATTCCAAAAAGTTTTATGAACGTTAGAAAATTTTATGTTGATAGTGTATCTTACCTAACTGAGGTTCAACTGTATTTATAAGTATAATAATTATAAATATTCAATAATACAATAATTTTCCATTGGGAGAAATAAATTCACTTTATCACACTATCATAACTTCGGGGTTTGTGAAGCATACTGTGCATAGAATATCAAGTTTACAACTGATTCACGGATTGCAATATTATTTCACCATTGAGATGAAACCCATCAACTAAATTCTTGAGTTGTGTATATCCTCGTCGAGCGTTTTACCGGCCGAACACCGATGACTTGGTGTATGGAAACCGTTCGTTTGGCCGTCGGTCGACCCGAATGTATTTAAGCGTTTAATTATTTAAATAGTCCATTATAAAAGGGTTGCGTGTAGACGATCCATTATCAATTACTACATAATCATTATTATTATTGGTATAACAGTCGATTAAGAACTTATCAAAAACTTATCAAAGTTATTGCTAACATTGAATCACTGTCACACAAATTAACTACAACTAATCTCTAGTGTAGGAGTAAATTGTAGTGTCTAGTAATAATTATTGGTAAAATCAACTACCGCATTATGCCATAACGGTTGTTTTAATGACTATAATTTATTCTTGAATTAAATAATTTATTGCATATACATATATAGATATATTTTTTTTCTTGTAACATTTTAATGATTAGGAGGAGAATATTGCTATGAGTACAATATCAATTAATAGGGAGAGAATGGGTCATAAATAAATAGTTCACTTCTATATTATTTATAGATTCCTACGCTGTTGTATAGATTATTCACATAAAATACTTGAATCAAAAACAGACAAGAGCTACCAGTAAATTTCCAATTTCATAAGTAACTACTCAAAGAAAAAATAAATCAAATATATATTATGTTATATCTACGTATGATATTATATTTTAATAACAAAAATGATAATTATTACACTCACATTGATATTTTTCCTCTGCTAGGTCCTACACAATACTAAAACCTAGATTTACTTAGAGGGAAGACAAGTATGATAATGAAATTATTAATTTCTACACTAAAAAAATTATCTTCATTCGAGTGTGTTCATTCTCGCTGCAATACTTTTGATAACAACATTTTTCTAAAGAGTGATATTTGATTATCATATAATTTAACTCTTTAACTCTTAACGGTATTCCTACAATGACAAAACTTAAGCAGTGATTGTTTTTCAGTTTTGTTTTTCAGATATTATTTAATATTGTGTATCTGTATAGTAAAATCCAAAACAAAAAATTATTATAAGATCTAAAAAAATAAAATATATTTTAGATGTTTTATATGTTTTGAACTTAAATTTTTGAGTTGGGAAATATTATAAGTAATATATGCTATATCATCAAAAGCTATGATGTTGCTTCGCCTCAATATATTAGTCAGCCATCTGCAATACGAAGATTTTCATACCAAAAAAAATAAAAAAAATACCACGGCAATTTCTCGCAGAAAAAATTTTAACATATATACGCACTTGCCCTCTTGCACAATTATTTTTTGAGGCTTAAAAAAATTAACAAACAAAGTTTAAGTTAAGTAAGTTGAGTTTACCTTTATATATATAATAAGTTCATTATACATTCAGTTTTTTTTTCCAATTAACAAGACTTTTTTTATAGGTACTAATTAATTTCTTACTCAAATTGAGTTAATGTTTTTCTCTATCTAAATGCTATACATTTTTTATTAAAATTATTATTCATTATATTATAAGTATTATATATTGTTACTTATAAAATGGCACAAAAATAACCTTACAAAATATACTTCTACAAGAATCAGTACTTACGCTAATTATATTCAATATAATGCATTATAGATATTATATACATTATATACTTATAAAATATTGTAAAAATTAAATCAAGAAAATTAATTCATACGAAAAATGTAATATAATTATATTTTATGTTGCATTTAATAAATTAATGCAAATACTAAATTAAAAGTACAGTGTGCCAAGGATTTCGCTCATGTGATAGACATGCAATACGATTTATGATCTACTAAATTAAGCTATCATACAAAAACAATATATTAATTTAACAGTTACCTTTTTTATTTTTGTAAATATAATTATTATTTGGTTTTTTATGGATCACAAAAAAATTAAAATACGAATATTATGCAAACATAAAACGAATATTTGTTATCGTGATAAATTTTTGACAAAAAGTTAGACATTTACTTAAACATTAAAAAGAATATGCATTTTTTGCTATATTTTAAAATTTTATTTACGATATTAA